GATATAGATATAGATATAGATATAGATATAGATATAGATATAGATATAGATATAGATATAGATATATACACACACACACACACACACACACACACACACACACATATACATATACATATGATTAATTATACAATATATAGAATAGCCATGTATATAATTGGAAAGAAAGAAAATCGAAATAGCCCCGATGTAAATATGAGGGATGCCGATACTGGAACGCGAGTGGAAATGTTTAATAAAAATATTTAAAATAAATACATAAATAAAACAAAATAAAAATAAAGGCTTTCCTTGGCTGCCCCGCACCTCACAAGGCACTCCAGAGCCCAGACAACGGCTGGCAGGGGATGATGGGCTTTGCTATTCCCCCCCCCCCCCAACCCTCCCGACGGAGGAGACGGCCTCCCCCAGCCCCGGGACTTACTTTCCGAGGTCCCCCCGCGGACGCGGCCCCCGCAGGAGCCCCGAACATCCGCTCTTCCAAGGCGTCGAGGCGATTTTGGAGCTGCTGCACCTCAGGCACCGCCATCTTGGCTCCACCCGTCAACCGGCACCGGGGAGCCAATCAGAGTCTCCCGAGCGGGGCTGCCGCTCTAAGTCTCCGACGGCGCGTCTCTATGGTTCACCTCGCGTCAGGGCCAGAGCGAGAAAATAGTGACGCCATGAGAGGTTAGTCACCGTGTGGCTCTCTAGCCTTTCAAAACTCTGTGGCCGCTCCTTCGGAGTGATGGAGGGAGGGAGGGCCACGGCCCGGATGTTTCCCCCAGGAAACCGGAAGCGTCTCGACGTTGCCATGGAGACGGGCGGAAGCGTCTCGGTTGGCTTTTGGGCCCGAAGCCTCAGCTGTCAGGATTTGCGTCCATTATCCCCAGCCAGAGGGGATCGTTTTTTCCCGTCTCGCTTGCTTGGAAGTGGAATGGCCGCTGATTTAGTTTCCTTCTTGCTGCGGGATTGTGGAGAGCTGTTGGGGGAGGGGCCGCCATCTTGACCGGTTTGACCTCTATGGATTGCATTGCTGGAAAGCGAGGCTGCTGCGAATGGAAGCCCAAGGCCTCATCACTGCTTCGACCATGGAAGTTTTTTTGTTTAAAAAGGGGAGATTGGACAACCGTTTTTCTCCAATTTGTATATAACTATTTGAGGGGGGGGTGACTAGATGATCTCAAAGGTCCCTTCCAGCTCTATTCTGATTAATCGATTGCCTGGTTGATGGAATGAAAGCCGCAGATCCAACCTGCCCATTGCTTGGAAAGATTTGATCATGAGAACACAAGGCAAAAAAACCCACCCTGGATGCCTCAGTCTCCTCCTCCTCCAGGACCACCCAATGGACCTCAATGGTAGAATGTGGACCCCCCTAATTCAAGCCCCCCCCCCCAGTGTGCAGAGAACTTGGCTTTGACTCTGTATGCTCCCCCACATCTCTTTCGCACCTGCACCAACTCCAAAACGTGGTTGGGACATCCTGGAGGATCCTGGCTTAGCAACCCAACCAGGGCACCCGCCCTGCACTTCCTTCCCCAGGAAAGTGGCCGCTCTCCACTTGGGGATCCCCATCCCTCCAGACTGTAGGAAGCCCCCCCCCCCCCTGTACAGATTAAAATATTATTTTTTCTTAATATTAAAAAGAGGCAAGGTAGAATATTTCCCCTAAAGGAGAAAGGGAGAAAAATCCTAACAAAGGCAGAAAGCAGCCTCAGCCTTCCTGCCGTAGGAAAACAGATTCAGAGTAAGGGGACCTGAAGAGGAATGCAGATTTTGCATCCATTCAGAAAGACTGAGCCGATCTATATTCATAAACAAAGCGGAAAGAAGGTTGCATCCGATGGGATTGAGATTTTACATCCCCCCCCCACCCTAATTCTAAGCGCAGGACATGACATTTAGGACCTAAGAGGATCCACCCACCACCATTAGAATAGTAGAAGACACAAGGCTTCCACAGTGCACAAACCCCCTGGAGCATCTCAGACACGAAACCCCAGAATCCTATGAAAATCCATCCCCTCACCCACCCACCCACCACAGAGACAGGCTGCTGTCACTGAAGCCTCTGGGAAGCCGATAAACAAGGCCTTCTTTCCATGTGGCCTGTACTTTATTTCTCGTGCCTTTCTCCCGATTTTTCTTCCAGCAAGACCACCAAGACCTTGGGGGCTGCATCCTCTTTGGTTGCTTGAAGCAACCCATTTCCGCCTTAAATATTCACATGAATCCTCCAAGCAGAATTTGACCAGCATGTGAAACGGACAAAAAAACCCAGCACAATTGAAATTTTAGTATGGTGTGTGCGGTGGATGCTACTCAATCATTAGCTAACTTAGTAAAATGTGCAGCTGGTCAGCACAGGAAGGGGGATTTTACTTATTTATTTTATATCCCACTTTTATTACTGTTATAAATAACTCAGGGTGGCAAACGTAACCAATATTCCTCCTCTGATCTTCCCCACAACAACAATCTTGTGAGGTGGGTTGGCTTGGTTTGGTTTATTGGATAGGTATAGGTGCTTTAGGTATAGGTGCTTTATTTGTATGCCGCCCTTTTCCCTGGGGGGACTCAGGGGGGGGGCTCACAGTTCAGAGGGAAGGGGGGACAAACCAGATAGCAATAGCAGTAGACTTATATACCGCTTCATAGGCCTTTCAGGCCTCTCTAAGCGGTTTACAGAGAGTCAGCATATTGCCCCCAACAATCTGGGTCCTCATTTTACCCACCTCGGAAGGATGGAAGGCTGAGTCAACCCTGATATGGAAGAGAACTTTCTCTGTGGC